CACATCCCCAGCTCTTTTAAAAAAAAAAAAAAGAAAAAAAAACCAAAAAACTTTTTTAATGTAGATGAACACAATACCTTTATTTTATTTATTTTTATAGTGCTGAGGATAGAATCCAGTGCCTCACACATGCCAGACGAGTGCTCTACCATTGAGCCACAACCCCAGCCCCACAGCCCTTTTTGGTTTTTATTTTGAGACAAGAGTTACTTAGGATCTTGCCAAGTTGCTGAGGCTGGCTTTGAATTCACAATCCTCCAGCTTCAGCTTCCTGAGCCGCTGGGATTACAGGCATGCACCACCAGGCCTGGCTTGATTTTTGCCTTCTTGATGTGTCTCTCTTTAACTTTGATAATATTCTTGGTCTTGAATTCTGTCTATTTTTTTATATTTATTTTTTAATTTTAGGTGGCAACAATATCTTTATTTCTATGTGGTGCTGAGGATTGAGCCCAGTGCCTCATGCATGCTAGGTGAGCACTCTGCCACTAAGCCACAACCCTAGCCCTTGTCTGTCTAATATTAATGCAGTCCCTCCAACTTTCCTATTTTGTGGTAAGTCTTTTTACTCTAAACCTGTCTTTTTTTTTTTTAGTTGTAAACAGACACAATATTTTTTATTTTATTTATTTTTATGTGGTGCTAAGGATCAAACCCAGTGCCTCATATGATAGGCATGTACTCTATCACTGAACTACAACCCTAGCCCCATAAACCAGTCTTTTTGAAAAAAATGTCTTTTTTCTCCCCCTAGTACTGGGGATTGAATTCGAGGGTGTTCTACCCTGAGCTGCATTCCCAACCCTTTTTGTTTTTTGAGACATGGTCTTGCCAAACTATTCAGGTTGGTCTCAAACGTGATCCTTCTGCCTCAGTATCCTAAATCACTGGGACTACAAGTGGGTGCCACTGTACCTGACTAGCCCTTTAATATTTGAAGTGTATTTATCATTAGTTGTTTCCTCTTAAAATAGAGTTTGATAATTTCTTGCTATTATTTCACTCAGTACTGTCCTCCCATTTGACTTAAGATAATGAATCTGGGCCAGGGTGTACTGGCACATGCCTATACTCCCAGCAACTCCAGAGGGTGAGGCAGGCAAGTTGGAGGCCAGCCTGGGCCACTTAGCAAGACCCTGTCTCAAAATAAAACTTAAAAAGGGCTGAGGATGTGGCTTGGTGGTAGAGGACTTGCTTAGCATGTGCAAAGACCTGGGTTCAATCTCTAGTAACAATAAAAATAAAGGTATAAGAAATGAATCTGGGCTGAGGAAGTAGCTTAGTGGTCGAATAAGGTGCTTATATGTGAGGCTCTGGGGTTGATCTGCAGCAATGCAAAAAGCGTTCTACCTTAAGTTTATAAAGTACTTTCATTTATGTCCTAATTTGTTAAAAACTGCTATTGGGTTCCTATGTATTATATGCGTGTACATATCATTTTTTTTCTCTATTTTTCTTTTTTTGTACTAGGGATTAAACCCAGGGGCGCTTAACCACTGAACCACATCCCCAGCTGTTCTTTTTAGTTGTCAATGGGGGGCTGGGGATGTGGCTCAAGTGGTAGCGCTCTCTCCTGGCATGC